GAAATCTCCGGACCCGATCCATCAAGATGCTGGTGCTGGACGAGGCCGACGAGATGCTGAACAAGGGCTTCAAGGAGCAGATCTACGACGTCTATCGCTTTCTGCCGCCCTACACGCAGGTGGTGCTGCTCTCCGCTACACTTCCCCATGAGATTCTCGGTAAGCTGTTTTAGATTGTTTTGAAATTCTTTTCTTAAAAATCTTTTTAATCCCTCTGTAGAAATCACCTCCAAGTTCATGACGGACCCGATTCGCATTCTGGTGAAGCGTGATGAGTTGACGCTGGAAGGCATTAAGCAGTTTTTCGTCGCCGTCGAGCATGAGGAGTGGAAGTTTGACACGCTCTGCGACCTTTACGACACGCTGACCATCACACAGGCGGTCATCTTCTGCAACACCAAGCGCAAGGTCGACTGGCTGACGGAGAAAATGCGCGAGGCGAACTTTACCGTCAGTTCGATGCACGGCGACATGCCGCAGAAGGAACGCGACGGCATTATGAAGGACTTTCGACAGGGCAAAAGGTAAAAAGAGGGAAAAGTTTTTGAAAATGGAACTAACTTTTTTCATTTCACTTAGCCGGGTGCTGATCACCACCGACGTTTGGGCTCGTGGCATCGACGTGCAGCAAGTCTCACTGGTCATTAACTACGATCTGCCGAACAACCGAGAGCTGTACATTCACAGGTACTTAATTTTTTTATTTTTGTTTTGTTTTTCTGTATACTAAAAAGCATTTTTTCCTGTAGAATCGGTCGCTCAGGTCGATTCGGACGAAAAGGTGTTGCCATCAACTTTGTCAAGTCGGACGACATTCGAATTCTGCGCGACATTGAGCAGTACTACAGTACGCAGATTGACGAGATGCCGATGAACGTCGCCGATCTGATCTAACAAAATCATGGAATGCTAAACACGAACTCTATTACCACCTGCGACCTCGATTCCCTTAGTTCGCAGGCTACTTTCATTTTCTCTCCTTCAATCCATCGTCCCATCTTCATCATCTTCCGAACACTACACCATATTCAACACACACAACGACCAGAACACAGATGAATTTAGCAAGCAAAAGCAGCAGTATGATTTTCCCTCCTTTTTTGTTTGAATCCTCTTACACAACACCGCAACACAAATCCTTTACCGATCCCAATAATGCAACTCTCGCTTGGATGAGAATAGAGCAGAGCTGCGGTGGAAGTGTTATTATTTACGATTATAAAATGATGCAAAATAAAAAACTGATGTAACTGTAACAGATGATGATGATTATGGATGAGAGGGTGCTTTTGTGAGGATAGTATTTACATTCGAATGCCGTAGGCGTCGGGCATTCGCTCGATGGTGTACTGTCGCTGGAGGATGAACATGATCGGCACGCCGGGGATCTTGCGAATGCGTCGCTTCAGGCCCTTGTCGCAGGTGCCCACGATGTAGCACTTGTGCTGGTTCACCCGATTGACGATGCAGTCGTCGGCGTAGGTGCCCTTGTGGTCGCAGGGCAGTCGCTCAAACTGCTCCTTGACGATCTTCAGCGCCAGGCGGTACTTGGCACCCAGCTTCTGCAGCTCCCCGACGATGCAGTCGGTGACCATGGGGATGCACTTCGCCAGCAGACAGTCCATCATCGCCTGGCAGACGTCCAGCTTGTTCTTGATGCTGAAGTTGATGAAGTTGGTGTCGCAGATGACGCGAAAGGGTGGCCCAAGCTGCAGATTGTAGTGAAAGAACATGGTGGTGGAGACAGTGGCCGCCTGCTGGTGGGCCTCCTCCTTGCGCTTCCGCTCCTTCGCCTTGACGCGCTCCTTCTTCTTTAGCGGCCGCGGCTTCAGGGCGAGCTGCTCCTTGACGCGAGAGTCACGCATCGAGAGTATCTTTGGCGTCCTCGCCATGATGGTCTGTCGTCTGAAAGATTAATTAGTTGAAGTACTGTTTGAACAAATCATCTATAGCTTCCGTACCTGTTTCAGGTGACTTTTGCTCGGAACTGATGATCCAAAAAGAGGCGATTCAAAAAATCAGCTCGTGTTTATTTTTTTCTAGCAAGCATGTGCCAGTGTCCTCTATTTCCACAGATCCGACTGCACTGCGGCAATTTAAAATAAGTTCCTCAAAGATTTTTCCCTAACAAGGTCTTTACCACCCCCTCATTCCCCAATCGTTGCCTAGACAGCTGTTGTGTGCTGATGATACCTCATCTTATCATTTGGGCTGTAGAATCCAAAATCAGAATCTAAAATAGAAACCTGAGGATTGGGCGAACAGTGCGGAGTGGAGTGGGAATAGTCGCGCCCAGTGCCACGATCACACTCTCGTCAGTGCTCGGCGAAAGGTGTGTTGCCGTCTGTTGCTGCTGCTGCTTCACATTTCTGTTTTCATATTTTCTGGTCTCTCTCTCTCTCTCTCTCTCTCTCTTTCTTTTCCTCTCTTCTTTCCACTCTATGCCAGTCACCGTTCTCAGTCGGCCAAGTGCAATCGCCACCACCATCACCATCATCTTCATCATTCTTCCTTCCTTTGCTCTTCTCTTCTCTTTTGATAGTGCTTGTGGTGACGTGGTGACGTGAACTCTCTTACTATTTCGCTGGCTGCACAGCTTCTCTCTGTGACTTCNTTCTCAGTCGGCCAAGTGCAATCGCCACCACCATCACCATCATCTTCATCATTCTTCCTTCCTTTGCTCTTCTCTTCTCTTTTGATAGTGCTTGTGGTGACGTGGTGACGTGAACTCTCTTACTATTTCGCTGGCTGCACAGCTTCTCTCTGTGACTTCTTTTTAATCGACCACCACCACCAGCTGCGGCGACAGTGTCGGCGTCGGTCTCGTCTGCAGACACTACCATCAAGTGGGACAAGAAGAGGTGACAACTTCGACTTCGACAGTCTTCTTCAAGCAGCCACAGCAGTTGAAGCAGTTTGGCGAGGCTAATTCTATAGTTGATCGTAAGTAGAAGCGACAGTCTGCCGCCGGTGTCTTGATACCGGAGACTGACTTCCCATATCTAATTCAAAGTCTACAAACACTTCTCCACTTTCAGATACTTTCGACACACAGCTCCTCACACCATCAACGAGTGCCTTCTCTTCTGGTGCTTTTAACACTTCCTTCTTTTACGTTAACGGCAATATCACATCATCAAAAGACAATCCATCTTACATCCACTGAGGTATGTCGAGCTTTTGTTGTAGTCGTTGTTGAGCAACACCCCCGCCAACTGACCTTTATTTAGTGATCACTTTGAGTACTCTATGTTCTCTCGTATAAGTGGCACTACTTCATCGGTGACGTCAGGCACCACCATCACCAGTCAATCAGTGCGTCCTTTCAGTGAGTGTGTGCACCCAGTGCATTCTCACTTACACTCAACTTTCACGTCTGAATTCGCATTCACCATCACTATAATTAGTCTGCTTATGTTATACCTGCCTACACCTGCCTACGACTCCCCTCCACCAGCTAATGAGCTGCGGCGACTGACTCAAGCCAACAGAACAGTACACTCTACTACTGCTGCTTCGAGTACTGTTCTTCCGTTGCCACAGCGAGTTTGTCAGCAAAGCATCAGTAGCAGCATTCACATCTTTATATTCGAGGTTACCACGTCCCAACTGCCCTTTGTTCTCCGCGACGGCTGTCTGTGAATTAATCACACACTGCTGCCGCATTGACAACAGTATCTCTCCTTCTCCCTTACTGCCTTCTCCGCTGCCAATTGATTAGCGTGAAGTGCACAAAACCGCCAGTGTCAGCCAGTAGTAGTGTTCAGTGGCGTGGAAGGGGCGAGCTGGCTGACTGAATGCTAAGCGAAAGCGCGCCCGGCACGTACTCCATTCTCTGTTGTACACTGACGCGCTTATCACAGCTCTCTGTCTATCTCTGTACAGAGCGCCCAACATTTTCCCTGAACGGCCCATTCATCAGCATCAGCATCGCCAGCAACCCTTTCCGCATCCATCTCCTCACACATACTCACATCTGTTGAGGTGAAGTGCTCTTTAGAGTGGAGTTTCTTAGTGACAAGGCCGCCGCTACATTCCGCTGAAGTTGTGCCTGTGTGATTTCTGTTGATTCAGCTCGTTTGCTGGGTTACCCACCCTGAGCTGTACACAGCAGTGTACCGTTGTAGCTGGAACTTGAAGCGCCTAGGCTGAAGTTGTTTAGTTTTTCTAAGCTGAAGTTCTTTTCTAAGCAGATATCTCTTTCTGTTTGCTGTGAAGTTTCTTGTTCTTTTTCTCGCACGTCTAAAACGTACAAAGTGTGGTGTGGTGTGGTGTCTTGTACGACAGAAAATCTTTGGATGGAGATGACTCAGTGGAAGCCGTTTCTTTCTCATCATCTTTGCTCAACTACCGCGCAGTGTGTTTCAGCGTCTATCTATTTACGGTTATGTCATCATTGTTAATGATCCTCGCTCTCTCTTGCCTGCTGCTGCTGTTGCTTTTTTTCATTTGCTAGCCATACCATTCTCTTGTTCTCTCTTGCTCTCCCTGTACGACCACCATCACCACTGCTGCTGAGTGTTTATTTGCCAACTCGATTGGTTTTTTATTTGATTACTCGATTGCTTGTGTACAACAAGACGAGTACGGAGCTGACAGACAGACAGTGCTTAGATCTTCTATCTTCCACTCTCCCCTCAATTGCTTGAATCTCTCTTTTTTTTTCTCTCTCTCTCTCTCTCTTTTTTTCTCTCTCTCTCTCTTATTTTAGCCCCGTAGGTATAAGTGGTGTGTGTTCTTCACCGTTTTCTGTGTTTTGGCGGTGTCCATTTTCAGCAGAGCTGCGTTTACACACGCACACTGCTTCCTTGCTATCCTCGCTGACTCTGACACTACGACACCACTCTTCCCAGACAGTCAGGCTGGCAGCCAACTGGCTGGAGCATTGCTGAATCGATAGACGCGATCATCGCGGGGAGTTGTGTGTGTGTGTGTTACAGCTGTACATTTGCTCCTGCTTCTTCTGCTGGCTGATCTCCCTCGTTTTCGGCCTCTCCANTAGCCCCGTAGGTATAAGTGGTGTGTGTTCTTCACCGTTTTCTGTGTTTTGGCGGTGTCCATTTTCAGCAGAGCTGCGTTTACACACGCACACTGCTTCCTTGCTATCCTCGCTGACTCTGACACTACGACACCACTCTTCCCAGACAGTCAGGCTGGCAGCCAACTGGCTGGAGCATTGCTGAATCGATAGACGCGATCATCGCGGGGAGTTGTGTGTGTGTGTGTTACAGCTGTACATTTGCTCCTGCTTCTTCTGCTGGCTGATCTCCCTCGTTTTCGGCCTCTCCAGTTGCTGCATGCAACATCAGCGCAGAAATTGGCCAATTTTCTGACAGCCGACTGGTCGCCGTGGTGTATGTCTGCAGTTTGTGCTCGTGCTGGTGCTCATTATCCGTCACCAGCCTCGCTTTCTTTTTCGAGTTTCTCCAGTGCCAAGACCACTGAGCAGCAGTTAGTGCATTATCTGTCATCTTTGTCACAAACACAACCAACATCATCACCAGCAAGGCATGCACATACACTAAACTAATCGCGCGACACTTTTTCTGCACCACGACCACTGTCTTCAACAGCAACCAGCAGCAGCCAACTTATTGATCCTTTCTGGTGATGTTGATGAACTTTTGACTTTGTTCTGCTACTACTGCTGCTCAAATTCAAAGTGTGCTCCTTTTTTCAAAATCACAATCTCTCTCTCTCTCCCTCTTGTCCTTGCAACCGTGCCAGTGTCACTCTTAGGTTAGTGGGTTATCGAGGAGAATGTGTCGTCTGCTTGTCGGTACCAGCCAGCCAGTGCCTCTATCTTAATGGCTTGTTTGATTGATTTTGCACGATCGCTGCCATCTTTCTCTTTCTATTTCTCTTTTTGTTTTTGTCTTTTTCTCGCTCCCTTT